TTGTTTCAATATTATTTTTGTCAGTATGTGTACTTTGTTGTGCTAGTGTGTATTTTTAGTAGTGTATTTTTGGGTGTTTTCCTATCAGCGTGGTGTTGGTGTATTGAAGAGTGCATGCATGTTTTTGTCCCTCTTATGTTTATGAATGTTTGTTTCTTCTACTAGGGTTTATGTTTTCTTTAATTAATATGTATTTTTTACAAGTTTATATTTTTTAATGTGTGCGTGTTTTTTTATCTTAATGCACATTTTTTTGGTGTACTTTTTTAGTGTTTGCTTATCAAAGTGTATTTTAGCGCGCATGTGCGTACCTAATGAATTTGTGTTCGTGTGTGCATGTGCAGACGCCGTTTGTATTTTGCGTGTTTGTATTTTTTTTTGGTATGAGTTTAGGAGTGTGTTGTGTTTAGTGTGGGCGTGTTATTATCGCTCTTTGTGCATACGAATGTATGTTATTTTTACTTTGGTCCCTTTTTTTTATTACTGTGTCTATTGTGAGCATCTTGTATTTTTTTAATCACTGTATACCATTGAATGTGGGCTTTTTTATCTCTAGTGTGCAATTTTTTTCAATGTGCTTTTTTAGTGTCTGTTTGTTTGCTTATCGGTGTTTATTTTAGTGTACATGTGTGTACTTTATGCATCTATGTTTGTAAGTGCATATGTATTTGTGTGAGTATGTATGTAGTTTGATTACTATTTGTATTTCTTCATCTCCACCTGTTTTTGTTGTGTGTATTTTTGCTTTTTTGGTGGTGTGTGGTTAGGAGTATGTCGTGTTGTGTTTGTTTTGAAATGTAATTTATCATCATTTGAATGTGGTTTGTGTGTGCTTTCTATGCCAATGTTTTTGATACCTAGATATATGATCTTTGTTTTTTGTCAAAAAATATTAACTAGGAAAACTGTTTTTTCATAGTGGTTTTCAATCAATATGGGATTCTGTAGGCTATGCTATCAATCATCACTTCTTAGTATTGTTCATATTCTTTATTTTTTTATTTTTTGTTTTATATCTTTCTATTTCTTCAATCCTTCATGCTCAAATTACATCCTCACACATTTTACTAATTTTTTTTTGTCACAAAATCCATTTGTCGGTATGTTGAAGTTTTTTATTTTAGCTCTTTACTTAGAGTGATTTTTCGAAACAATCAGAACCCTTTTATCATTGTTTCGAATAGGAGATCGAGATGTTTTGGCTTTATGGATTGCATGTTGATTGTTGAAGGTACCACTTACATTGACTTTGTGTTTTGGCTTGGCAATTTTCATTTTAATTTTGGTTCTGAAAAATTTATTAAGCAGAATTGTAGATTTTTCATCCGTTTCTTGTTTGTTTTTGTTGCAATAATGCAGTTTTGTCTTTTGCTTTTGCTTTCTTATCACGGTTGGTTCTTATTTTGTGGACTAAATATAGCGGTAGTCCACAATGTTTACTATTTGTTTCATTTTAGTCTCCAATACGACTTATGATTCATCTTTGGATAGAGATGTCATCACGCACCGCACTCTAGTTGTCTTGATGATGTGATCAAGTTGATAGCTACAGATTTGTTGGATTAAGATATAACTGATTCATCTAAACAATCCATCATTGCATTCCTTTCAAGATTTTTTTAGGCAACGATCTTGGCATGATTACGACTTTTTTTAGTTTATTTTTAAGTGTCAAACTTACACATTTTTTTTAATGTTTTGAATAGGGATTTTGCTCAAGCGGGTATTCTATCACTGCATGCAGCATTAAGAAAGCTTTGTTTAGGTTTTGTAAACCTATACAATATGCTAGATTGCCCACCGTGAATATACTCGGTTAATTATTAATTTCATACTTTTATCTTTTTCCTTTTTGGGCTAATCAAAATGATATTAGATTATCACGTAGCTGTTTGCAAGTTTTACGTTGGCTATCGATAAGTACCTACAAGGTTTGTCTATTCTCGTCTATGACTAGGCATGGAAATTGGTACGTATTTATGCCGCCATTGTTACTAAAAGTAAATGTGGTCGTGCATTGGGTAGGAGTACGTTTACTTTTGTATTTTAGTGTATGTTGTTGACTTTTGTGCTTTTTTCTTGGTGTTTGCAGAAATACGACTTATGATTCATTCATAGGTAGAAATGCCATTATGCATCACACTCTAGTTGTCTTGATGATGTGGTTAAGTTGACAGTTGTAGATTTGCTGAATTATGATATAGCTTATTCATTTGAGCAAGGATAGAAATATCGTTTTGGTGTATTGTTTCGGTCACCTAGAAAACGGAAACGTTTCGACGTATTTTGGAAACGTTTCGACCCGTTTCGGAAATATAATGAAAAAAATAAAAAATTTAAGAATTATTTTTCTAAAACATTGATGAAAATATATCAAAATATCTTGAAATACGTTGAAACATTCTAAAACAAATATACAAATACATTGAAATATTACAATACATTTAAAAATATTATGGAATACCTCAAAATATCAAAATTTCGATTTCATCACTATTTCTGTTCGATCTCCTTGGAAACGGAAACGTTTCAGACGTTTCGATCGTTTTGAAATAATATTTTGATCCTTGCATTTGAGCAACCCATTATTGTATTTCTTCCGAGATTTTTTCAGGTAGCGAACTTGGCGTGGTTACAACTTTTTTTACTATATTTTTAATAGCTGAATTTATACCTTTTTTTTTTAATGTTTTAAACAGTGTTTTTGTTCAAGCAAGTTTTTCGGTCACCACATTTATCATTAAGAAAGCTTTCCTTGGGTTCCGTAAACCTTTACATTATGCTAGATAGCCCATTGTGAATATACTCAGTTAATTACTAACTCTTTATACTTTTATTTTTTTTTCCTTTTTTGGGCTAATCGAAATGATACTAGATTATCGCGTAATTGTCTGCAGGTTTTATGTTGGACAATTGATAAGTACCTACAAATTTTGTTTCTTCTCATCATTGACTAGGCGTGGAAATTGGTATGTATTTCTGCCACAATTGTTATTAAAAGTAAACGTGGTCGTGTATTGGGTAAGATTGTGTTTACTTTTGTGTTTTAGTGTATGCTTCTGACTTGTGTGCTTTTTTCTCAGTGTTTGCCAGAATACAACTTATGATTCATCAATGCGTAGAGATGCCATCATGCACCGCACTCTAGTTATCTTGATGATTTGATCAAGTTGATAGTTGCAGATTTGCTGGATTATGAAATAATTGGTTCATCTGAACAACCCATCATTGCATTCATTTCAAGATTTTTTCAAGTAGCGATCTTGACATGGTTACGACTTTTTTGGTATATTTTTAAGTAGTTATCTTATACATTTTTTTTAATGTTTTTAACAAGGTTTTTGCTTAAGCTGATTTTCAGTCACTGCATGCAGCATTCAGAAAGCTTTCTTTGGGTTTTGTAAACCTTATACATTATGTTAGATTGCCCACCGTGAGTATACTCAGTTCATTATTAAATTTATATTTTTCTCTTTTCTCTTTTTGAGCTAATCAAAATGATGTTAAATTATGACGTAGTTGTCTGCAGATTTTATGTTTGGCAATCGAAAAGTACTTACAAGGTTTGTTTATTCTCATCAATGACTTGGCGTGTAAATCGGTATGTATTTCTACTGTAATTGTTACTAAAAGGAAACGTGGTCGTGCATTGGGTAGGAGTATGTTTACTTTTGTGCTTTAGTATATGCTTTTGACTTGTGTTTTTTTCATTGTTTGTGTATGTTTTTAATTTGTGTGTTTTTCCACTGGCTTATATTCTTATGAGTACTTATGTTCGGTGATCTTGTTCTTTTATCTCTGATATTGCTTTTCCGTATGTACGTGTGTTTTTATTAGTGTGCTCTCTTGTTTGTGTGTGTAGGCGTTTGTCAATGTGTTTTTATCGGTACGAGTACTTTGTTGTGCTAGTGTGTGTTTTTATTAGTTTATTTTCGTGTTTTCTTATTAGTGTGGTGCTATTGTATTAAATTGTGCATGTTTGTTTTTGTCCCTCTTTATGCTTATGCTTATGAATGTTTTTTTCTGTTAGGGTTTCTTTTTAATTATTATGTGTTTTTTACGAGTGTCTGTATTTTTTAATTAGTGTATATTTTTGAATGTATACATGTTTTTTTTTATCTCAGTGCAGTTTTTTTCGGTGTGCTTTTTTAGGTTGTCTGTGTTTGCTTATCAACGTATATTTTAGTGTGCATGTGTGTACCTTATGAGTTTGTATTCGTGTGCGTATGTATTTGTGTTAGTGTGCGTGCGCAATTTAATGATTATTTTTCCCTTTATTTTCACCTTCGTCAGTATTTTGCGTGTTTTTATTTTTAGCTATTTAGGACTATGTTCTGTTTAGTGTGGGTGTGTTTTTATTATCTCTCTTTGTGATTATGGATGTGTGTTATTTTTACTTTGGTCTGTGCTTCTTTTGATTACTGTGTTTATTATGAGCGTCTTGTATATTTTTAATTAATGTATACCTTTGCATGTGGGCATGTTTTTTTATCTCTAGTTTTTAGTGTACTTTTTAGGTTTTTGTTTGTTAGCTTATCGATTTTTATTTTAGTGCACATATGCGTACTTTATGCGTCTATGTTTGTAAGCGCATATTTATTTGTGTGAATATGTGTGTGTAGTTTGATGAGTATTTACATTTCTTTATCTCCGTCTGTTTTTTTGTGTGTGTATTTTTTCCTTTTCAGTGGTGTGAGTTTTTTTTTTTTAAACAAAGTTGTGCGTAAGGAGTATGCCGTGTTGTGTTTATTTTGATGTGTAATTTATCATTTTTTGAGTGTGGTTTGTGTGTGTTTTCCATGCAAATGTTTTTGATACCTAGATATGATCTTTGTTTTTTATTAAAAAATATTAACTAGTTAGACTCTTTCTTCAGAGTGGTTTTCTATCAATATGCATAATATTCAAACCAAGAATGAGATTTTATATGGAGTAATGCTGCATGGACTTAAAAAGTAGACTTAATAATCTCAACCATTGATTTCACTGTGGATCCCAACATTTATTGAGACACACTACCTATTCAATGGTTGAGATTATCAAGTTTATTTTTTAAGTTCACGTAACATTACTTTTTTATATGCTATGCAGTCAATCGTTACCTCTTAGTATTGTTCATATTCTAACTGTTTATTTTCAATTTTATGTCTTCCTATTTCTTCCATTCTTTCCCTCTCAAAATACATCCTTGCATATCTTTACTTTGTTTTCCTTTTCAAAATCCATCTGTCGGGACGTTGATGTTTTTTATTTCAGTTCTTTACATGGAGTGATTTTCAAAACAATCAGAACCCTTTTATCATTGTTTCGCAGAGGAGATCAAGATGTTTTTGGCGTCATGGATTACATATTAGTTGTTGAAGGTACCACTCACACTGAGTTTATGTTTTGGCTTGACTGTTTTCATTTTCGTTCTGGTTTTGAAAAATTCATTAAGCAGAGTAGTGGGTTCTTCATCCGTTTCATGTTTGTTTTTGTTGCAATAATGTAGTTTTGACTTTTGGTTTCTTATCATGGTTGGTTCTTATTTTGTTTTTGAGTGTGTTACCACCACATGGGTGCCTGTCTTAATAATATATCTCATAGGCATGGTTTGACGAATCCAAAAAAGTTAACTTGCTTTTGTCTGCACACAGATCTTTTGTTTGTGGCTTCCTACTGTCACAAGGCAAGCTTTACATAATCAAGCAAAGTATCATTGAGGTGTTTCTGTCGGTCCTTGGCTAGACTTTCCAATGAACCTGGCCTTAGCGATCTCCTAGCATGCAACAAACTTGACTATAGCTATGGTATATTGACCAACCGCACAAGCAAACAAAGGTGGTAGCCTTTTGCTACTTGGGTTATTAAGCTTCCCTCGAAGTGCTTTATTGAAGGGAGGACCCTATAAATTGAAGGACTACTTAATGTGCCATATGTTTTCGCTGCATGCACTCTGTTGTGCTATGGAGATGCTGTTTTGCACATTGTTGGTTGCTTACAAGCTGGCACAATTCCTTCCAAACTTTTGGTTTATTTTATTTTGAAATAAATGTTTTTCTTTACTTCATGAATTTGATTTTGGTCTTTGACTGATTAAATTGTCTAGGAAGCCATGTTTGTATTTTACAAGCATCATCGGAGCGGACCAAGCAGCCATGAATTATTAAATAATTTCTAGTGGAAAGCTGATTCAGTTGATATGCACTATACTAACTAAAGGTAAGGATGGACTTTCGGTTTTCAAGGATGCCCTTAGATGATTCGAAATTATTGTTGTCAGTTTGTAGTTATTTTTGTCAATGTTATAAAATGAACTTTTCTATTCATTGTGCTTTGACCCATAGTTTTGGAAGGTTTCTTTAGCTTCTGGAAGTTCATTTTATTTGCACTATCTACATTCATGCATTATTGTGAGGATGATGGTCAAAGCACGATGTGCACATTTTTTTTGGAACTTACTGTTCTTTTTCTCGTCTTTGGCATGTTAGCTTCCATACGAGTATTTGCCCCCGTTACAAGCAGCTGTTGGAGTTGCCCAAAAAGGTAAAGCATGTACTTAACTATATTTTTTTTATATTCTGTTTATAGCCACTTAATTTTTAGCCGTCATGAGTCAAGAATTAGGACCCTTCTTCCAAGACGTCCACCAAAAATTGAGACTAGCCATCACACGATGTATACAACTTTGCTAAGAAAATATGACTTGTTAGGTGCTTTTGTTAACTTAGTTTTCAGGGTTTATGGCCTACTATCCCAAATCAAACTCATCTGAAGTTGGCTGAGCTGCTTGAGAGATGCTGCATGACCCAAGTTTAAGACCCAACGTTATATTGACCAAAACTCTTGACCTGACCTCTAGCTTCTAAACTAACTAATGGTGGGTGGCTCCATTATTGTTAGTGGAAATGTTATTAAATGTCGTTGTTGTCCTGCAGCTTTTCCTCTTATATGAAACTCTTGGTAGCAAAATTGTTTTTGTTTCCATCATTTCTCTTAAGTTATTAATACAGGCCTTAAATTGCAGAAATACAACTTAAGATTCATCCATGGGTAGAGATACCATCATGCACTGCACTCCAATTGTCTTGATGATGTGGTCTAGTTGACAGCTGAAGATTTGCTGGATTATGATATAATTGGTTCAGCTGAACAACCTATCATTGCATTCCTTCCAAGATTTCTTCAGGTAGCGTTCTTGGCATGGTTACGACTTTTTTTAGTGCCAAACTTACACTTTTTTTTTTAATATTTTGAACAGGGTTTTTACTCAAGTAGATTTTTGATTCGCCGTATACAGCATTAAAAAAGCTTTCCTTGGGTTCCGTAAGCCTATACGATATGTTAGATTGCCCACCATGAGTATACTCAATTAATTATTAACTTCATACTTTTATCTTTTCCATTTATAGGCTAATCAAAATGATGCTAGATTATAACATAACCATTAGAGAAAGCAAATTTGATTCACAATTAGAAGTATTGATTCACAACCACATAACAAGAATAATTAACGATCAAGTGGGGTATCTAGAATAGTTATAAAGATTTGATGTATTTGGGGAGTAGTGTCCATGGATTTTTCAATCGAGCTGTTGGATGGTGGAGTATTGTCCATGGATTTTTTATTGTTGAATCAAATCTGCTTTCTTATTATTGTCCATGGATATCAAAATGTTATTATAGAGAATAAAACTAATGGTGGCCACTGCCAGCAGTTTCAACAATTCAATGTTAGCTTCAATCACTTGCTTATTCTTTTAAAAAAAAAGTCTCTTAATCATTTAATGGCCGAAAATCACTCCCAAGGATGAGGCAATCTCTTCTTCCCTCAAGTGAGGCTTTCGATTTAGGACCAAAATCACTTATATTTTTTCTTCCTAGGATTTGATGGTAGGGCCAATCCAACACTCTTTTTGAACAAGTGATAGGGATCGTGTAAGAATTGGATAGATATTTTAGATTAATCATGAGAGTATTTATTATTTATCTTTTAAATATTTTCTTTTAACTTTTAAGGGTTTGGTTATCATTTTGATTATTTATTTATTTTAGAATTTGTGATCTCCTTATATATATAGGATTTGTAAACTCTTTATATATATAGGGGATACATATTTGTTGTGAGATTAGACTTTTGATTATTATTGATTATTAATATTTAATCATTCTTCCTTAAATTATATCTCTATTCTCGTTCCCATTTTCTTCTTTTCTCATCTCTTTTTTTTTTCCTTCTCATTCCTAATTCTTTTTTACTACGATCTACATCAATTTGGTATCAGAGCTCAATTTCAATTCATACAAATCACAAAAATCTCAACAACACTGTTCATCAGGAAAAAAAAAAATTGTTCGTTGAAATCATTGTTCATGCACACTATTCACGCACTGTTTCGTGCGCACTGGTCCTCGTAACAAAAATCTTATTATCCAGTTAAAAAAAAAAAACCAGCCAAAAAAAAAAAAAAAATCTCCAGCAAAGTTAGAACATTACAACAACATCCCGGCTGCTCTAAAAATTACAGAAACACCCTAAAAAATTTTAGAAGTTATAAAATCATCACCAGAAGTTACAAAAATTACAGAATCTTCCCCATAAGTTTTAGAATTACAGAAACATCACTCCAGAAGTTACAAAAATTGTAGAATCTTTCCCTCAGAAGTTTCATAATTGCAGAAACATGTCCAACAAATCCATAAAATTGTAGAATCATCTCAAAAAGTTTCAGAATTTCCTCTTGATTATAGTATGCATACTCCCATAAAATTTCAGACTAATATTTTTATTCATTAAAAAATTAAAAAATTTGCAAAAGATCCAAAACATTTTCTTCTATTTAAACTTTCTTAAAATTGTCAATTGTATTCTTGAATTTGTTCTTTTATCATTCTTATTTTTTAAGAGTCACTCATGAGTTCCTCTAATGCACGTGTTTCAAGAGTCTTTCGTCGAGGTCATCATCGTCGCAAGTCTATGTATGTCTACAAGGATTCAACACTTATGGCCAAGTCAATTAAAGATCCTTCTATATTTTGTGGTACTTCAAATCTCAATCAATTCTTGGATTGATTAGCTAATTTAGAAGAATATTTTGATTGGCATGACATGTCGGATTTTCATTGCATCCGTTTTGCTAAATTGATGTTGGAGGGTTCCGCCAAGAAGTATTGACAAACAATCCAAAGAAACGTAGACCCCTTAGGAGAATCACCTATCACTTGGGTTGAAATGAGATATAAATTGAAAAATAAGTATTTGCCTACTTCCTACATGGATCAAGTTTATGACCAATGGCTCAATCTTAGACAACATTCTTTTAGTGTCTCTGATTACTTTCCTCAGTTTGATTCTCTCATGTACTTGTGTGACATTGTTGAAGAACCTTGGACAATTGATCAATATATTTTTGGGTTGAGACAAAAAATTAGTAGGGAGGTCAAGTAATACACTTTTAATACGTTAGTTGCAGTTTATCAATATACTCTAAAGGTTGAGAGATTTCATAAGAAATCCAATTATAGTTTGATGGGTTCTCAATCATAGCCTGCTAATAGGACATCTTCTAATTTTAATTCCACCACATATGAGTATCATGGTTACTTGAATGATATCCGTGTTGTTTTTGCATGTTTTTCTAATTCCAGGGTGACCATGGATTTGGATGACACTCTCACATACCAAAAAAAATGTTAATCATGTCGACTACCAACAAAAGTCTGTCGGATCAGAGCTCACCTCCTTGTCTGATTTCATCAGATCAAAGCTCACCTCCTTCATACCCACAAAAGTCAATACGTGAAGAAAATGAGTTTGCGCCTTTGTTAGAGTCAAATGTTGAGTCACCACTTGTAATGGAATTTGTTGAAAAGTCTGTCGAGTCCACACTTATGAAAGTTGTCAAGCATATTGAGTTTCATATTTTTGAATCTTTTGGTGATTGTTTTGTGTCTCCTATTTCAAGTCAATCTAACTTTATTCCCAAATCTTTCTCCTCTGAAATAGTTGACTTTATTCCTACTATTAAAATTTCACTTGAGTTGGTACTTAATTATTTTCAGCACCAAGGCGTCATTGTTACTCCTTTGTTATCGATATCTTGTCTCATTGAACACTTTTTGTTAAAATCTAATGAGAATTATTTTTCTATTCTTGAGTTTGGATCTAATGCTTATTTGCTTAATTTTTCATTGAATGTTAGTATTAGTTCAGATTTTTATTTAAAGGACATGCTACTTAATCAAGGTACTCCAGAGCCTCCTATTTTGTTATTAGGTGTTTCTACAGGTGGAATTACTTCTTTCTCAGCATTAGCTCTAGCTCTTATCTTTCCACTTCTATTGCGTATTTTGAGGCAAATGGATGATGTGTTACATGACCAGATTTATATTGCTACAAATGGAGATTCTTGCATTTATCCTGATTGGTGGAAAGAAGTTGATAGTTCTTTTAATTTAGATGAGGCATTATGTCATCTTCATCCTGCTCTCTTAAGGTACTTTTACTTTGAAGACTCTTAGGAGGAGAGTGTTTTTCAACCGGAGGAGAATGATAGAGATCGTGAAGGAATTGGATAAATATTTTAGATTAAATATGAGAGTAATTTAGTATTTATCTTTTAAGTATTTTCTTTTAACTTTTAAGGATTAGTTTTCATTTTGATTATTTATTTATTTTAGGGTTTGTGATCTCCTTATACATATAGGATTTGTGAACTCTTTATATATATAGGGAATACATATTTGTTGTGAGATTAGACTTTTGATTATTACTGATTATTGATATTGAATCCTTCTTTCTTAAATTCTCTCTTTGTTCTCATCCCCTTCTTCTTTTCTCATATTCTTTTTCTTCTCTTCTCATCTCTAATTCTTCCTTACTATGATCTATATCAAGAAGTCATCTAAAAATGCACCAAGTTTATCGGATGGTTATTAACCAGAAAAATCAAGACTCCGACATCAGTTTAGCAGTGAACAATTTAACTTCTCTTGGTTTTAACCTGAGTGAGACAACAATGCTAGAAATCGAGTTGAGCAGCAACCAGAAAGGGGTCATTCAATCAGGAGCAGCAATGTGCTCGTTCCTGCAATGGCACCAGAGGCACCGGCTCAAATTAAAGATGCTGAGTGGATAATGTCGGTAATGGCAGATGCTAAATGCAACAGTGGAGCCATTCAATCCAAATGGCATCAAAAACAGATACAGAAGGTCATATCAGGTCTAAGAAATATCAAGGAGAATGAGGGATTTTATGATCCGAAAATCGTTTCAGTTGGTCCTTATCACCATGGCACCTGAGCTCAAGGAAGCGGGGAAGTTGAAGGCTGCAGTGGCATTCGAGTTCATTAAAGACAATGATCATGAACCCGAAGTGTTCTATAACAAAATCTTAGAGTTGGTTGGAGAAGCTAGGGACTGCAACGCTGAGGGCTCACCGATGATGATACGGCACCTCGACGGCTGTTTTCTATTGGGTTTTATCGAGGGCTGTGTAAATAAAAAGGAGCTGATTTTGACTATTTTGTCTTGCTTCCTAGGCCTAGCATCTCTAACTACGTTATACAATGACCTCATCTTGCTGGAGAACCAACTTCCATTCCTAGTTATCCATGGCCTAATGAGCATACGACACCTAGAAGATGAACGAGAGAAGATGATCCACAGTTTCCTGCATTCCACTTATGCCCATCGACCGGTGAATAAGAAACAGGAACCTCAAGATGAGGGGAGGCAGCCCCTTCACCTCCTAGAACTTTTGCAAGAAAAATATCTCAGCCACCACAAGGCAGATGATGGAAGAAACAAGGGAAAACACTCAAGTAGTACTCTTAGTAAGGCTTCCGATCACTCATTCGGTTCAGCAATCGAACTAAAAGCAAAAAGAATATATTTCAAGTCTAGTGGACCATCATGTTTAACAGACATCAACTTCACTTTCTGTTGCTATGGACAGCTGATGCTTCCTCATATCGTATCTAGCTCTAACATTAAGTGCCTCTTCTTGAACATGATTACATATGAAATGGCTCCTAACACATTAACTTGCTTGGAGGTTTGCAATTATATTTATTTCATGAATTTACTCATTAGTGGAGCTAACGATGTAATTGAGCTGCGATCACATTACATAATGTAAAACTTCCTCGATTCTAATGAGGGAGTTGCAAATTCTTCAACGCTATGGCTTCTGCTGCCTTAGCTGCCAATGATTTTATCATCAATGGCGCTTGTTATCAAATTGACGAGCACTTCAACAGCAAGAGGAAAACTTAAATGGCTCAAGTTGTGCATGATCATTTCAGTTCTCCTTGGACTACTGTGGCCTTTTTTCCGCACTGTTTCTTATTATCTTAAGCATGACCCAAAACTTACTTCCAAGTTTTTCCTCCCTCTACAAATCAAAAGTAAACGGGAGTTCGGAAGTTTCATTGTCTCTACATTATTACGTTGAAACTAATAAATTATATGCACATAAGGGTGTTCTATACACCCAACATGCCATGTTTCTCCTTAAATACGTTATAGGGAAAACTTTACTTTATCTTTTTGTGGCATACCCGAAATGCACTTTACCTCCCTGAAATTTAAAAATGTCCACATAACCCTCACATACTTTGTGGACTAAAATACATTCAACAATGTCGAATGAAATATTTTTGATTCATCATTGGAATGTATTTTTTATTATATGAAAGTTTGATTAATTATATGTTCTGTTACAGGTTAAAATTCTTCAAGGGTCCTATTTCTAAAAGAAACTTGGTCCAATTACTTTTGAATTTGATGGTGCTTGAAAGTACTTAGCCCAAGTGCAAAACAACGGTTGTGTAAGACCCAGTGGGGTAGTGTGAATATTTAGGTTAATAAGGAAGAAATGATGTTGGACCAAAAACAAGATATAAGTGGTTCATCTTAGCCAAAAGATCAATATTACATCCATTGCAATGGAGACTTTCTCCTTGGGGTTTATATTGCTTAAAGAAGAAAAAAATTACAGTGGATTTCTTAACTTAGAGCCTTTTTTATACAATGTCTTGTGAATAAAATTTTCAAGAACTCCCTAATACAGTGCATCTGTACTCTATTTATACATGTGATCATCTAGGGTTTTTTGCGATTCTTTCCTTTTCTTAGTTGATTCTGTGATTCCCTCTTCCTTTGTCCTGTAGTGGTGCTTGTCACTCTGACACAAGTTGTGTCCACGATCCTTAAAACACTATATGTACAAATATTCCCTTTATCAAGAATTGTGTGTTCGTTAGGGGCTCCAGAGACTGTCCCCTTATCTCCTGAACACGTGGCGCATACCGAACTTCTCGTTTTCAGGCTATTCCCCGACAAGCTTGATGTGACCAAGTAGGCATATACCGATCTGGACGTTATTTGACTCCCTTCCTTGAGTTGTGGCCCACTCCTATAGCGGGGTGGGTAGACTGTAAATAGGCTGTTTGGGCTGCCATGTGACCAAGGGTCCATTGAGTGTTCTGGGCTTTTGATGGGTAGCCTAAGCCGAAATCTATCATTATTAGAATTCATTGTCGCATAAATTTATTCGGTCACCTAAAAGCATTAGGGATGACACTCTCCTCTTGCTTAATTCTTATTTTCTTTGGGTTGTCGATTTTTTTGGTCATACTTGCCTTCAAACACAGGCATTAGCTATTAGTAATCTTACAACTTCCATTAAGACATAAATAAATCAAAGTTCTGATATAAAAGACAATTCAAAGGTCTTGAGTCTGTGAAGGAACTACGTGGAACATGCATGTCACAGAATCTGTGTATTACAGGACATACAAATGGAATGTGGAAAAGGATCAATTTCTTTGCTTTAAAGTAAGAATTAAATATTAATATACCAAACTTACTATGGAGAAAAGATTAAGTATTAAATATTAATATACCAAACTTACCATGGATAAAAGATCAAGTATTAAATATTAATATACCAAACTTACCATGGATAAAAGATCAAGTATTAAATATTAATATACCAAACTTACCATGGATAAAAGATTAAGAATGAAATATTAATATACCAAACTTACCATAGAGAAAAAATGGATGCCTAGCACCCTTCTTGAACGAGTCATCTTGATCTGCACTAAGTGTTTCAGATGGTTATGCAAATGGAAAAATCCAGACTCTGTGGTAGTGGACATTTACCTTCTCTTTGTTGTCTACCAGTGTCAAACAATGCCAGAAATTAAGTCAAGCAGCAATCAGAGCGGGGTTGGGAAAGGGATCATTCAATCAGGGGGAAACAATGATTGTGATCCTTCCTGCAACAGTATCTAAGGTAGAGGTTTATGTTCCCAGAACGACCAAAAATAGACAGGGACATCAAGATAAGCAGCCTCTTCACCTCCTAGGACTCGTGCGAGAAAAACATCTTCCCCGCAACAAGGAAGATGGGAAAGACCGAAATGCTCCTAATAAAGTCCTCCTTCACTCCTTCGTTTCAGCAACAAAACTTAAAGCAAAAGAAATACATTTCAAGTCTAGCAATACATTTTGTCTAACAGACATCAGCTTCACTTCGTCCTTTGGCCATGGACAGTGGACACTTCCTCCTATGTATCTGACGTGCACGTCAAGTCCCTCTTTTTGAACATGATGGCATATGAAAAGGCTTCTGGCGGTACCACATTTATTTCAGTTATATTGTTTATCGAGGACGTTTATAGTGGACGGACATGGGGGAGAGAGTAAATATTCATTGTAATATTTATACCGTGCCAGATTGTCGGGTGGTACAACTGTTCAATAAATAAACAAGTAGATGATGAAACTCACCTTTTTATAAGGGTCTATTTTGCCTATTTGTTGAATTATCATTGAACGTTCATATTACGTAATAATATCGAAATAATATAACTGTTATAATGAATATTTTAAGGTTATTCTTTAGAACTAATCCCAAAAAAATATATGGGAGGCAGTTAAGGGATATTTTGTTGTTTTTACATTTTTTTTTCAAGAAATTATATTTGTAATTTATTTACGAGCAGTAGGGTTAAATGAAAATAAGTAAAAGTTGAAAAAGTTGATGTGCCACTGATCCTAAGCTAGGTGGATTTTGTACCTAACCCCTCAGCTATGTGCTGTTGTATAAAGATTATACTTGTTTCAGGGTTTGGACTTTGAAGAATGGCAGGCCATGTTTTATGTTCTGGAAAGAAACTCTCAGCAACAGACGTTTCATGTAATCTGGAGATACCAAATTGGGCACTTGACTCACTTGCTGCTGGAAATGAGATCATGCATGCTCCTTATATGTTCAATAAGGAGCATTGGTAGACGCTTTGTGACATATCAACGGTGCAGTTTCGCAGGGGGCGAAGAGACCTGTGCCTGATGACATACTCCGATTTTACCGTTAGATGATTGAAAATGTGTACTCGATGGAGTTTGAACGCCGGAGCATCCGACTCTTTGGGGTGACCATACCATTACATATACGCGGGCTGAACCTGAAGTTCCATACATGCAGGCTATGGTTTTTTCAGTTCATCCTCGATTTGTATTTTAGCTTATCTTCAGGAACTCTTATGAATTAATTTTATCACGAAATCGGTAAGAAGAAGGTAATTACACTTTGACCACATAGACTATGGAAACTATTGACGTGTTAGGAAACTATTGACGTGTTAGGAAACCACATAATTAATTTTTTGAACGGAAACTATTGACGTGTTAGGACAAAGTAAAAATATTACACAGTTTAAAAACAAAATAAAATAACTTTCCATTAAATATATATCAGATGTTAATAATTAAAATAATGTAAAACTAATCACATAATTGAGAATACAATAACATTATAATTGAGAGGGAATATAAATAAGAGTCATAATTGAAGGAGTCAAAGTGTAATTTACACTTGAGGGGAATGTAAAAAAAAGTTATAATTGAATGGGTCAAAGTGTAATTTTCCCTTGAGCTGAAAATTCTACCACTGTGGTAGAATTCTACCTACCACTCTTCTAGAAAGATTCGACTAACCTTAATTGGCATTACCAGGAACATTCCAGTGGGACCCAGTTAACTTGGTTTTGTATATTTATGAGGGAGTTGGAATTTCGACTAATTAGTGCAGAGTGCATATAAGAGTGACACGTAGCACATAAGAGCTGAGTAATATTTTAGGGAAAAGACTACGATTTTTCAGTACCATACCAAAAACTTCATATTATAACATTAATGGTATGTTTACTAAATTTATGGTATATTTACACCGATTGATAGACAAAATAAGACATTGAAATGATAAGACAAGACGTATTTTTGAGTTGTCATTAAGTCAATTGAGGGCAAAATTATAACATTAGTGGAAAGTTTACGACTATAGTGAACAAAATTATAACATTAATGAAAAGTTTACAACAGTAGTGAATAAAATTACAAAATTTGTGGGAATATTTACAACTTCAGTGGTATATTTATCAAATTTGTATAAATATTTACAACTTCAGTAGTATGTTTACCAAATTTGTGAAAATTTTTATAATTTCAATGGATTCAAATATTTACAACTTCATGAGGAGATTTGATCGATTGTGGAGAGACTTGATTAATACACACATGTGTGTGCTTAATTTATCAAATTTGTGAGAATATTTATAACTTTAGTGGTATATTTACCAAATTTGTGAAAATATTTACAACTTCAATGATATGTTTACCAAATTTGTGAAAAATTTTACAATTTTAATGGATTCAAATATTAACAACTTCATAAAGAGATTTGATTGATCGTGTGGAGATTTGATCGATCACAAACTCACTGTTTTTCAAAAAAAATTGGGAGAGGCTACTTCAACCTTGCGATAGATCACAAGATCTTAAGACAGATCGCAAATATTTTGGAGATAAAAAAAATAATAATTTTGATATATTCTAAAAAATAATAATAATTTCCACTTTTATTTACCACTTTTATGAGAATATTTATAATTTGAATGAATTCTTTATGAGAATAATTACAACCTCAGTGATATGTGTTACCAAATTTATTTGTTTAATTGATCTATCAAAAATATGTTTAATAAAAATTCAATTTTAATTTTTAAAAAAAAAAAATTAAAATTGAATTTTTATTAAATATACTTTAAAATTGAACTTTAAGTCAATGGATTCATTACTAGTCCATGATCGATCAAATATATGTTTGATCGATCATGGACTTTCTGTCTCTCTCTCTTGTCGCCATTAAGTCAATTAAGGACAAAATTACAACATTAGTGAAAAGTTTACAACTATAGTGAACAAAATTATAACATTAGTAAAAATTTTACAATAGTAGTGAATAAAATTACAAAATTTGTGAGAATATTTACAACTTCAGTGATATATTTATCAAATTTGTGAAAATATTTACAATTTCAATGGTATGTTTACCAAATTTGTGATAATCTTTACAATTTCAATGGATTCATTACTAGTCCATGATCAATCAAATATATGTTTGATCGATCATGAACTTTCTGTCTCTCTCACTACACCACAAATTTGGTGATAATATTTACTAAATTTGTAAGAATATTTACAATTTTAGTGGTATATTTACTAAATTTGTGTAAATATTTACAAATTCAGTGGTATGTTTATCAAATTTGTGAAAATCTTTACAATTTTAATGAATTCATTACTAGTCCATGATCGATCAAATATATGTTTGATCGATCATGGACNTAAAAAAAAAAAATTAAAATTGAATTTTTATTAAATATACTTTAAAATTGAACTTTAAGTCAATGGATTCATTACTAGTCCATGATCGATCAAATATATGTTTGATCGATCATGGACTTTCTGTCTCTCTCTCTTGTCGCCATTAAGTCAATTAAGGACAAAATTACAACATTAGTGAAAAGTTTACAACTATAGTGAACAAAATTATAACATTAGTAAAAATTTTACAATAGTAGTGAATAAAATTACAAAATTTGTGAGAATATTTACAACTTCAGTGATATATTTATCAAATTTGTGAAAATATTTACAATTTCAATGGTATGTTTACCAAATTTGTGATAATCTTTACAATTTCAATGGATTCATTACTAGTCCATGATCAATCAAATATATGTTTGATCGATCATGAACTTTCTGTCTCTCTCACTACACCACAAATTTGGTGATAATATTTACTAAATTTGTAAGAATATTTACAATTTTAGTGGTATATTTACTAAATTTGTGTAAATATTTACAAATTCAGTGGTATGTTTATCAAATTTGTGAAAATCTTTACAATTTTAATGAATTCATTACTAGTCCATGATCGATCAAATATATGTTTGATCGATCATGGACTTTTTGTCTCTCAATTTATGATTGTTCTGTTACAACATTAATGAAAAATTTATAAGAGTAGTGGAAAAATTACCACAATAGTGGTACAAATTACAATATTAGTGAAAAATTTACAACAATAGTGAAAATTTTTTATGAATGTTTATGATCTATCACAATAATTTGATAGATCAAACAACAATTTGATCGATTTTTTAAATTTAAATTTAAATTTTTTTTTAAAAAAAATTGGATAAATTTTTTTTAAAAAATTGAAATTAAATTTTTATTAAACATATTTTTGATAGATCAATTAAACAAATAAATTTTGTAACACGTACCACTGAGGTTGTAATTATTCCCATAAAAAATTCATTCAAATTATAAATATTCCCTAAAAAATCGTAAATAAAAGTGGCAATTATTATTATTTTTTAGAATATATCAAAATTATTATTCGGAATATATCGAAATTATTATTTTTTTTATCTCCAAAATATTTGTGATTTATCCTAAGATCTTGTGATCTATCGCGAGGTTGAAGTAGTGTTCCCCAAATTTTTTTGAAAAATAATAAGTTTGTGATCGATCAAATCTCCCCACGATCGATTAAATATCTCCATGAAGTCGTAAATATTTGAATTCATTAAAGTTGTAAATTTTTTTACAAATTTGGTAAACATATCACTGAAATTGTAAATATTCCCACAAATTTAATAAATATACCACTGAAGTTATAAATATTCCTACAAATTTTGTAATTTTATTTACTACTATTGTAAAATTTTCACTAATGTTGTAATTTTGTTTATTATAGTCGTAAACTTTCCACTAATGTTGTAATTTTGCTCTCAATTGACTTAATGGCAGCTCAAAAATATGTTTCGTCTTGTCATTTCAATGTCTTGTCTTGTTATTTCAATATTTTGTCTTGTCTACCAATCGGTGTAAATATACTATAAATTTAATAAACATATCATTAATGTTGTAATATGAAATTTTTGGTATAGTACTAAAAATATCCTCGAATATACCGCAGCCTTCTCCATATTTTAGTGGACCCACCTATTTTTGGCATTGCCTAAAGTGGGGACAGCTAACGACTTATATTTCTCATACCGGCGACTATTGTCAATTCCCACACTTGCGTGTAGGCCGAGATCTGCACTGGCACATCTGCACAAATTCTCTCTCTCTCTCTCCAAATGGGTGTTGCCTTATAGATAAACTTCTATTGAGGGTGGGCTGTTTGAGGGCTACTATTGGGGGTGGGAGTGGGTTTGGTTTCACCGAAGGGCGGCGGGAGTTGGTGTC